CTAAATACAAGGATTATGAATTTTTTTATAAGAAGTTACAATCTAAGGAGGGAGAAAAAGATATATATAGGCTTATTAAGATGAGAGAAAGGAAAAGTAGGGACTTAAGTAATATTAGGTGTATTAAGAGTGAAGATCAAATAGCTTTAGCAACCGATGAGGAAATAAAAGAGAGGTGGAGGAGCTATTTTCATAAATTTTCTAATGATAACTAAATAGGTGAACAACATAGAGAATTTGATCACATAGTGAATGATAGAAACTATATATATTGTCAAAAAATTAGGATCGGTTAGGTCAATGATGCTCTAAAGAAAATGAAAAGTGGAAGAGCTGTAAGACCGGACAATATCTCTATTGAAGTTTAGAAATGTATTGGAGATATAGTATTAGGATGATTGATCAAATTATTTAATAAGATTTTTAAGATAGAGAATGTCCGATGAGTGGAGGATTAGTACGTTGATAGCGATATATAAGAATAAAATAGATATACAAACCTGCTCAAACTATCATGGTATTAAACTTATGAGTCATATTATGAAACTTTGGGGAAGAGTAGTTGAACAAAGACTAAGAAAAGAGACCAATGTATCTGAGAACAAATTGGGTTTTATGTTTGGGAGGTCAACTACGGAACCTATACATATTTTGAGAGATTGATGGAGTAATATAGAGAAAAAAAGAAAAATCTACTTATGATTTTTATTGACCTAGAAAAAGCTTATAATAGAATGTTTAGAGAGGTAATATAGTGGGTTTTAAAAAAGAAACATGTATCTATGATATATATTAATGTGATAAAAGATATGTATGATAGAGTAACAATTAAAGTAAGAACTAATGAAGGAGAGACCAAATTATTTTCTATACATAGGTTCACATCAAAATTAGCCTTAAGCCCTTATCTTTTTTACTTTAGTTATGGATCGGCTTACTAGACATATTCAAAATGAAGTGCTATAATATATGTTATTTGCTGAAAATATAGTATTAGTTGACGAGATTATAATATGTATAATTCACTGTTATAAATAACGGTAAATAGCCCCGCAATAGCGGCGCTAATAACGTTGGCGCTAATAACGTTAGCGGTCCCTTCCCACGACGCTATCGTCCGTTACGCTATCGCGCAATAGCGGTGACATATTGCGGAATATGTCTGTTCGCAAAAGCGACCGATAGTGTGTCATAACGGTAAATAGTCAGTGATTGCATTCGAAATTTTCTTTTTGACTGTTATTTAAAAGCGGTTTGAGACTTATTTTTTTAAAAATAAACTCAACCCTTGACTATTGCATTCCACTATCTCCTGTGATTTTTAGCATACTCCCGTCTCCTCTCATAGTCTCTGGCACCTACCTTGATACTTCCTCTCACCTCCTTCACCGTAAGCTCCTCTTAGGATAGTCTTGTTATCACTAAGCTCTTTTTCTCGAAAACGATGACTTTTTGACTCTTCCAGTCATCTTCGGTATTACTTGATGGTCACATGTCTATTTCGTGTTTAGGGTCTCTTTAAATCATTCAATATGTACTTTTAGATTTCTTAGATTTTTTTTAAATTTTTTAGTATTTATACATATCTAAATTAGACCGCTATTTGACTTTACGTTTTTTACCGTTATTTTATCATAATAGCCCGAAATAGCCTTAGCAATGCCTCACTGCTACGCGACGCTATCCGCTATCAAAATAGAATACATGAAATGCATTTTTAGTAAAACTAGAAGGAGAAAAGAGCCTGTACTACGTACTGATAGCCAAAAAATATCTAAAAACAATCAATTTCACTACCTAGGATCAATCATTCGGTATGATAGTGAGATTGAGGGTATTGTTGGGAGTCGAATGAATTGCTAAAATGGAGAAATGCTTCGGGAGTCTTATGTGATTGTAGAATACTAGTAAGATTTAAGAAAAAATTCTATAGGACAGTTATAACTTATAAGACTAACAATGCTTTATGGATCAGAATGTTGCGCAACTAAAACAATATGTGCGAAAATGAGTGTAGTAGAAATGAAAATGTTAGGATGATATTGTGGGTATACAATAAAAGATATGATAAAAAATGATTGCGTCCGTGGTAAATTAGATGTTGCTCCTATAGAAGATAAAATGAGAGAGAATCAGTTAAGTTGGTATGACCATGTACAATGTAGATCTATTAATACATCGGTTAGGAGAAGTGATAATATTATAGTTAATGGAGCAAAGACATCTAGAGGTAAATCCAAGGTTTTAAATATCGGATATCGGGTTCATATCGGACGACTGAAATCCATGTCGGATAGTGAAAATCGGATATATCGGAGGATATTGACTAAATATCAGATTATCATATCGGGTAAC